CCCATTAGGGGCAGTGGCCCCAGTCCCAGTATGCCAATGTTGTAATATCCAGAATGGAAACAGCTTTGCGCATGTACCAAAGGCATTGCTAAAAAAAAAAAAAAAAATATGTTAGCCCATATAAACCATAAAGTTTTCATGCCAAAATATCCTGATGTTTTTAACAATTCCTGGCCATACACTTCCAGGAGGAACTTCATTGCCAGAGGATCAGTAAAGCACAGTCACTGCACAGCACTTTTAAGCAGAAAGCCGAACCTGAATATGCAATGAGCAAACATAACTGCATCCATATGCAAAAAGCTTTGCCACTAAATACAGAAGCATTGAGGGGTTAAGAATATGCATGCATCATACATACTAGGAGGGGTACAACTGGGGGAATCAATGGTGGAGAAGGATCTGGGGGAATCAATGGTGGAGAAGGATCTGGGGGTTCTGGTAAATCACAAGCTTAATAATGGCATGCAATGCCAAGCTGCAGGTTTCTAAAGTGAGCAAAATACTCTCTTGTATTAGGAGAGGTATAGACTTCAGAGAGAGAGATATCACCCCCCCCCCCCCCCCCCCCCCCGGTACAAATCATTAGTAAGACCTCATCTGGAATATGCAGTTCAGTTTTGGGCTCCAATTCACAAAAAGAACATTGGGGAACTGGAGAAAGTACAGAGAAGGGCAAGGGGGGAATATGATCTCCATGTATAATACATAAGGGGGGAATATGATCTCCATGTATAATACATAAGGGGGGATATGATCTCCATGTATAATACATAAGGGGGGATATGATCTCCATTGTATAATACATAAGGGGATATAGATCTCCATGTATAATACATAAGAGGGATATGATCTCCATGTATAATACATAAGGGGGATATGATCTCCATGTATAATACATAAGGGGGGATATGATCTCCATGTATAATACATAAGGGGGGATATGATCTCCATGTATAATACATAAGGGGGATATGATCTCCATGTATAATACATAAGGGGGGGGATATGATCTCCATGTATAATACATAAGTGGGGGGGGATATGATCTCCATGTATAATACATAAGGGGGGATATGATCTCCATGTATAATACAATAAGGGGGGATATGATCTCCATGTATAATACATAAGGGGGATATGATCTCCATGTATAATACATAAGGGGGGGATATGATCTCCATGTATAATACATAAGGGGGGATATGATCTCCATGTATACTACATAAGGGGGATATGATCTCCATGTATAATACATAAGGGGGATATATGATCTCCATGTATAATACATAAGGGGGGGGGGGGATATGATCTCCATGTATAATACATAAGGGGGGGATATGATCTCCATGTATAATACATAAGGGGGGGTATGATCTCCATGTATAATACATAAGGGGGGATATGATCTCCATGTATAATACATAAGGGGGATATGATCTCCATGAATAATACATAAGGGGGGATATGATCTCCATGTATAATACATAAGGGGGGGTATGATCTCCATGTGTAATAAATAAGGGGGGATATGATCTCCATGTATAATACATAAGGGGGGATATGATCTCCATGTATAATACATAAGGGGGGATATGATCACCATGTATAAATACATAAGGGGGGATATGATCTCCATGTATAATACATAAGGGGGGGTATGATCTCCATGTATAATACATAAGGGGGGATATGATCTCCATGTATAATACATAAGGGGGGATATGATCTCCATGTATAATACATAAGGGGGGATATGATCTCCATGTATAATACATAAGGGGGGGTATGATCTCCATGTGTAATAAATAAGGGGGGATATGATCTCCATGTATAATACATAAGGGGGGATATGATCTCCATGTATAATACATAAGGGGGGATATGATCTCCATGTATAATACATAAGGGGGGATATGATCACCATGTATAATACATAAGGGGGGATATATGATCTCCATGTATAATACATAAGGGGGGGGATATGATCTCCATGTATAATACATAAGGGGGGGTATAATACATATGATCTCCATGTATAATACATAAGGGGGGATATGATCTCCATGTATAATACATAAGGGGATATGATCTCCATGTATAATACATAAGGGGGGATATGATCTCCATGTATAATACATAAGGGGGGGGATATGATCACCATGTATAATACATAAGGGGGGGATATGATCACCCATGTATAATACATAAGGGGGGATATGATCTCCATGTATAATACATAAGGGGGGGATATGATCTCCATGTATAATACATAATGGAGGGGGGGGGGGGATATGATCTCCATGTATAATACATAAGGGGGGGATATGATCTCCATGTATAATACATAAGGGGGGGATATGATCACCATGTATAATACATAAGGGGGGATATGATCTCCATGTATAATACATAAGGGGGGATATGATCTCCATGTATAATACATAAGGGGGATATGACCTCCATGTATAATACATAAGGGGGATATGATCTCCATGTATAATACATAAGGGGGGATATGATCTCCATGTATAATACATAGGGTGGGATATGATCTCCATGTATAATACATAAGGGGGGGATATGATCTCCATGCATACATAAGGGGGGATATGATCACCATGTATAATACATAAGGGGGGATATGATCTCCATGTATAATACATAAGGAGGGATATGATCTCCATGTATAATACATAAGGGGGGGATATGATCTCCATGTATAATACATAAGGGGGGATATGATCACCATGTATAATACATAAGGGGGGATATGATCCTCCATGTAAATACATAAGGGGGGGATATGACCTGTATAATACATAAGGGGGGATATAAGGTGGTCCCATACAGTGAACTCGGTGTAGTTATTCACCCTGAGGTCATCACAGAGGACAAGGGGGCACTCTTTATGTCTGAAGGAAAAGAAATGTATTCTCCAAACACGAAAAGGTTTCTTCACAGTAAGAGCCATGAAAATGTGGAATAGACTCCTCAAGAGTTGGTTCTGGCCAAGAAAAAAGAAAAAAAAACAAACAGAGTGCAATCTGCAGACCATTAATTTCATTGGAGGGCAGGTAAGACATCAGGGGTCTCATTAAAGAGAATCTGTCAATAAAACATGCATCACATGGGGGACTTTTTGTCCCTTATGTAATAATAAAAAAAAAAAAAAATGAAAGTTACACCCAAGTCCACTCTTAGTCTAGGTTCACACCTATGCAGGTTGTGTTTGAGGCATTTAAGCATTGCGTCTTGCGTTTTTGCTGCGTTTTTGATGCGTTTTGCATTTTTTTTCTAGTTGCTATGCACTTGCTTTGGGGGCACTCATGAGTGCTCGCTCTTTAGCTGGCCCTGTGTATCCATAGACACACAGAGCCAATGGCTCCCACTGTTGTCTCTGAGCAAGGGGAGAGAGTGAGCCTAGCAATCTGCTGCTCTCATGTACATTGCTGAATCGATATCAGGCACAAGTGAGGGTATGGGGGGGGGGGGGGGGGGGGAGTTTCATGCAGAATGTTTGTTACCTTAATGCAAAGAATGCATTAAAGTAAAAAATAAAAAATCTTCTGCCTTTAGAACTACTTTAAGGAAAATATTCATAAACAAATACAAATATCTCTCCGTACCTCAAAACTGCATGTCAATTCATTCTGTGTGAATGAGCCCAAATCAGGGGCGTATTTACCACAAGGCGAACAAGGCATTTGCCTAGGTAGCATTGTTTTCAGGGGGGCAGCAGAATTTTTTTCAGGGGGGCAGCAGCATTTTTCTGGGGGGCAGCACAGCCCCCCGATAGAAGGGATGGAAGAAAGAACACACAGCATGGGGACCAGGTGGGATCTGAGAGGGGCTGCTTGATGGTGTATGAAGAGCCTGACTCCCGGGGTGTCCAGAGCTGTGAATGCGAGAGTCTTCTCTCTTGCTGGGGTGGCGTGGGGGGTTGCCAGTGTATGGGGGACGGTGGTAGTGGAAGGCTCTCTTGGGTGGTGTGTTGTTGGTCAATGTCAGGCTCTTTTCGTGGGAGAGGGGGGTGTTTATCAGTGTCAGGGTCTCTCTGTAGGGGGGGGGGACAATTTTTGTGCTGCCTAGAGCAGCATGAAACCTAAATACTATACTATCCCCTCCCTTTTAGATTGTAAGCTCCAGGGAGCAGGGCCCTCGTACCCCTCGTGTATTGTATTGTTATTGTACTGTCTCATGTATTGTCTCCCATTGTAATGTACAGCGCTGGGCGAACTATTGGCGCAATATAAATACTGTATAATATAATAATAATAATAATAATAAAATACACCAGTGGTCCAAATTGAATGTTCTCAGGCTATGTTCTCTGCAGATCGAATGCTATTCATTGTGAAAAAAACTGTGTAAATGGGAAAACTACCACATTATGGCCACAAGATGGAGCTGAGAAGCATAGTTATTTCCTATGATACTCAGCACCATCTAGTGGTAATAATGTGTAAATTTTTTTTTCATTGAATAACATTAGATCTGCAAACGGTATCGCCTGAGAACAGGGGCGGACTGACCATTTGGAAACTTGGTCACTGCCCGAGAGCCCGGGGGTCAGTAGGGGGCCCCATGAGATGCCCCTGGTACCTTTTTAATAGGCTTTTTTGAGCTTGGGCAAGGACACAGGGGCCCCATGATCCCCTATTGCCCGGGGGCCCCATGAGTTGTCAGTCCACCCCTGCCTGAGAACATTACATTTTTCTCCATCCTCACAACGAATTGACGTGCAGTTTTGTTGCAAATATTTGTATAACATCATTACAATGTAATCCTTAAGAATTAATGCACTAGTTATATCACAAATGGTTATTTCTGGTTTGGTCTCTGTCGGCTAGTGTGTGGGCAACAGCACCAATTTTTTATTTACTATGGCTTCCATGAGTTTTTTTAAAAAATAATCTTTCTGCAATGTTGCTCCCACCATGTCTTGGTAGTTTAAGAATAAGAGGCATGAATAAGAGGCACGGAATGTCAGTCATTACCTGCTGAGAGAAGAGCAGAAAAGATAACGATGAGGAACATTGCTGAGCCTTTGGTTAGGTGATACATGCTTGGCAGCAGATGAAGGGTCCTGATTTGACTTCTAGAGATCCTCAGACAAAGAATTCCATGTGTCAGCCAGTTTCCAGTCTCTCTGACCTTGTCTGAGCTTTCCAGTCCCGTGCCCTTTACTTTCAATAAAACCTTCTGGGTGAGGCTGGTCCTTGGTCCTTGCAGTTGTAGATTGTCCCAGTGACTCTAGAGGATCCAAGACTTCCAGTGGTGCCTCTAGGCTGTTGGTTTTAGGTGACTAAATAGATGTCAGATTGTACAGGTAGCTCATTCCAAAAACAGGTGCGTCGAGTCGGTTCACCCTGCCAGGTCAGACGGTTTTTCAAAAATGTAAATACGAATCACGGGGGAAAGTTCAGCCTCAAACCCTCCTAAGTCAAGCTCAAGCCGTAATTTGGTGTCCCGAAATTGGAGATGGCACTTGGCTGGTCTATGACCATTGAGGAGCGAGGAAGGAGGAAGCCCTGAGTAGTAGTTGAGGGTTTTCTCTCTGCGTAGGAGATAATAAGCCAGGAGCTCTATTCTCAGCGTAAGGAAACTCACACCCCTCCGTCTGAGCCAAGAACATGCACGTCTGGGCAAGCTACTGGATTATGTTGCATTGCTTTAACCTTTTACAATGACTAACCACAGAGGAGGGCCGGGCTGGGGCTCAGTGACTGACACAAAGTAACCACAAAGACAAATTAGAACCTCCGCTGTTCCAGCGTACAAGGCTATGAAATAAACAGATGACGGTTTGTGCTGCTGAAAGGTTTAGTGAGTAAGAGAGAGAAGAATAAAATGAGAGAGACCGGAAGAGAGAGATATACTGGGGGGTGGTAAATGTGAACAATGCAAAATGAGAACAATTCCAATCAGAGTTCACATTTAAATGATTAAAAAAAATAAAAGGCAACACCTGGCTGATAGCTGTTGGCAACGGTTTACAATTTGGGCTCAATTTCCTTTTTTAAACTTTTTTATGCATCAAAAAGAGAGTAAGAGAAATAAAGAAAGAGAGATAAGAGAGAAAGAGAATGAAAGAGAGAGAGAAAGATTAGCGAGAGAGCGCGGAGAGAGAGAGAAAGAAAGAAAGAAAGAAAGAAAGAGGGAAGAAAGAAGAAAGAAAGAAAGAAAGAAAGAAAGAGGGAAGAAAGAAAAAGAAAGAAAGAAAGAAAGAAAGAGAAAAGAAAGAAAGGAAGAGAAAAAAGAAAGAAAGAAAGAAAGAAAAGAAAGAAAGAAAGAAAGAAAGAAAGACCGGAGGAGAGAGATACAGTAAATGTGAACAATGGAAAATGAGAATAATTCCAATCAGAGTTCACATTTAAATGATTAAAAAAAAAAAAGGCAACACCTGGCTGATAGCTGCTGGCAACGGTTTACAATTTTGGGCTCAATTTCTTTTTTTAAACTGTTTATGCGTCAAAAAGAGAGTAAGAGAAATAAAGAAAGAGAGATAAGAGAGAAAGAGAATGAAAGAGAGACAGAAAAAGATAAAAGATGTGAAAAAGAAAGAGAGAGGGAAAAAAAGCAAAAGAGAGTGAGAGAAAAAAAGAGAGATAATAGAGAGAGAAAAGAGAGAGATAGGAGAAAGAGAAAGGAAGGGAAGGGGGAGAGAGGAGAAAGAGAGAGAGAAAGATTAGCGAGAGAGCAGAGAGAGAGAGAGAAAGAAAGAGGGAAAGAAAGAAAGAAAGAAAGAAAGAAAGAAAGAAAGAAAGAAAGAAAGAAAGAAAGAAAGAAAGAAAAAGAAAGAAAGAAAGAAAGAAAGAGAAATTAGAACCTCCGTTGTTCCAGCATACAAGGATATGAAATAAACAGATGACGGCTTTGTGCTGCTGAAAGGTTTAGTGAGTAAAGAGAGAGAAGAATAAAATGAGTGCGACTGGAGGAGAGAGATACACTGGGGGGGGGGGGGGGGGTAAATGTGAACAATGGAAAATGAGAATAATTCCAATCAGAGTTCACATTTAAATGATTAAAAAAAAAGGAAACACCTGGCTGATAGCTGCTGGCAACAGTTTACAATTTGGGCTCAATTTCCTTTTTTAAACTTTTTATGCATCAAAAAGAGAGTAAGAGAAATAAAGAAAGAGAGATAAGAGAGAAAGAGAATGAAAGAGAAACAGAAAAAGATAAAAGATGAGAAAAAGAAAGAGAGAGGGAAAAAAACAAAAGAGAATGAGAGAAAAAAAGAGAGAGATAATAGGGAGAGAAAAGAGAGAGATAGGAGAAAGAGAAAAGGGGGGGGGGGAGAGAGATTAACAAGAGAGCGGAGAGAGAGAGAGGGAGAAAGAAAGAGAGAGAGAGGGGGGGGAGAGAAAGAAAGAAAGAAAGAAAAAGAAAGAAAGAAAAAGAAAGAAAGAAAAGAAAGAAAGAAAAAGAAAAGAAAGAAAGAAAGAAAAAGAAAGAAAAAGAGGGGGGAGAGAGAGAGAAAGAGAGAGGGGGGGATGGAGAAAGGGAGAAAGAGAGAAGGAGAGAAAGAAAGAGAGAGAGATGGGGGGGGGGAGAGAGAGAGAGGGGGGAGCGGGGGAGAGAGAGAGAGAGAGAGGAAGAAAGAAAGAAAGAAAGAAAGAAAGAAAGAAAGAAAAGAAAGAAAGAAAGAAAGAAAGAAATTAGAACATCCGCTGTTCCAGCGTACAAGGATATGAAATAAACAGATGACGGTTTGTGCTGCTGAAAGGTTTAGTGAGTAAGAAAGAGAAGAATAAAATGAGAGAGACTGGAGGAGAGAGATATACTGGGGGGGTGGTAAGTGTGAACAATGATAGATAGATAGATAGATAGATAGATAGATAGATAGATAGATAGATAGATAGATAGATAGATAGATAGATATGAGATAGATAGATAGATAGATAGATAGATAGATAGATAGATAATAGATAGATAGATAGATAGATAGATAGATAGATAGATAATATAATAGATAGATAGATAGATAGATAGATAGATAGATAATAGATAGATAGATAGATAGATAGATAGATAGATAGATAGATAGATAATAGATAGATAGATAGATAGATAGATAGATAGATAATAGATAGATAGATAGATAGATAGATAGATAGATAGATAATAGATAGATAGATAGATAGATAGATAGATAATAGATAGATAGATAATAGATAGATAGATAGATAGATAGATAATAGATAGATAATAGATAGATAGATAGACAGACAGTATGACACTTATATTTAAGATTTGGCCAAGCCTACATACTGGAAATTCCTGATGCAAGCTAAAAAAAAAACATAACTTCTCGTTTGTTTCTGTTTAGTTTTCATTTTCACTTCCCTAGAGGTAAATTCATACCATACCTATAAGAGTAAACCATGTGCACTTTTTTATTGTTTTTTTACACATCTGTCACCTATAGGTGGGTATGTTCTGAGAACATACACATAAAAAAAACAACCGAACAAACATATATATATATATATCATTCCATGCACTGACAGACACGATTCCCTTCCTGACACGCCATCTTCTATTGGACTTTGTTTGGTCAGCAGTGCATGAGTTACAATCCCTGAAACATTTCTGGTAACCTGCAGCATTTTACACAATGATGTTTTAGATGGTAGGGACACTTTTATAGCTAATTTTACTAAAGAAATGTATTTGTGATGATACCTTTATGTGATGCTTAGGGCTCTTCTCTAGGGTATATCCAAAGGAATGGATTATTCCAATACATCGCTAAGCATTGTTTACATCTTAAAGTGTTACTAAACCCTCAACAGTACAATCAGTCTGTAGATGCAGTAAAGCGTGCTTGTTATACTCACTGGGGAACCTAAGGGGTTAATCCTCCGCATTGTGTAAAAAAGCTGTTTGTTCCTGTCTTCTGTGATCCTCCCTTTCTTCTACTGTCCCCAATCCATCTGCTGTTAGTACAGACTCCTAGGAGACACTCTGCACATGCTCAGTTTGGTGTGTATTGCTGGAGAGTTTTTTTTTTTCCCCTTGGGAGAGTGATGTGATCAGCACAGGGCCAATCAGCTCTGCTACACAGCTTAGTCCTGTCTGGCAGAACAGGAGGCCTGATTTTATTCTACTGCTGTTCACTAACATTAAAGTGTTACTAAACCCACAACAGTACAATCAGTCTGTATATGTAGTAAAGCATGCTTGCTATACTCACTGTGGAACCTAAGGGGTTATTCCTTCGCATTGCGTAAAAACGCTGTTTGATCCTGTCTTCTCCAATCCTCCCCTTGTTCAAATGTCCACGTCTTATCTCCTGATGATTGGCTAGTGGCTCTGCCATACCTAATAGGCAAATTAGAGATTGTAATGGACCAGGAATAGTGGTAAGACGAGTAATAAAATGTACTACCACAGTCCAACATTGGCAAAGATAAGGGCACGCCCAAAGCATTGGTATACAATCAACTGACTCGCTCCCACAATGCCAACAGGTAGGAAGGACACTCGGGTAAATTCTATGAAGCCTCAAGGGTGAGAGATTCTATGTAAAATCCTAAACTGAATCAGTCGATCCCTTGCCGAGTTGAAGGAAAGGGTATTCCCAAACATCCTCCCAGCCATAATCGTCAAGGTCCAACACCTCCTGCCACCTTTAGATAGCAGGGACTCCAATCCTTTATGTACAGAAGGCTGGAGGGCCTTATAGATTAATATCTATGAAGGAGAGTGGTTTGGTTAGATCAGGATTTCTCATTAGCTCCTCCAAGAAGAAGGAGAGTAGGATCATCAGAAAGGTCCCAAAGTGCTGAGAATAGGCATGGCGGAGCTGAATGTACCTGAATGGAGGAAAATTAGGAAAGTTAAACTGTACTTTAAGCTTTTCAAAGTGGTCCCATCCAGGGGCGGACTGACAACTCATGGGGCCCCCGGGCAATAGGGGATCATGAGCCCCTGTGTCCTTGCCCAAACTCAAAAAGCCTCTGAAAAAGGTACCAGGGGCATCACATGGAGCCCCCTACTGACCCCGGGTCCTCGGGCAGTTCCCGAGTTTCCAAATGGTCAGTCCGCCCCTGGTCCCA